TTTGGTCCACGCACAAAGCATCTTGGCCATTTGGGCTTGCCAAGTTGTGTTGATGGGAGCTGTCGAGGGTTACCGTGTTGCTGGTGGACCTCTCGGTGAGGTTGTTGACCCACTTTACCCCGGTGGCAGCTTCGACCCATTGGGCCTTGCTGAAGATCCAGAGGCTTTCGCTGAGCTCAAGGTAAAGGAAATCAAGAATGGTAGACTTGCTATGTTCTCCATGTTTGGATTCTTTGTTCAGGCTATCGTCACCGGAAAGGGTCCATTGGAGAACCTTGCTGACCACCTTGCTGACCCGGTTAACAACAACGCCTGGTCTTATGCCACTAACTTTGTTCCCGGAAAGTGAAGATCTTAAATACGAGTCTCTTCTGATTGTTTGATAACCCTGTAAAGTTAGCTATTGTATATTACTGGAGATTATCTATGAATTTTTATTTGGTCTCCAATAATTGTGTAGTTCCATGTTGTTTATGTCAACATTTTGCAAGAGTACTATCAGGTTGTATATGTCTCTTCATAATGTTTATTTTGTGGCCTCTGCTAGGTTAAAATTATACAAGTGCCTGCCTATATTCTGATGTTTATTTTGTGATATCCACAGAAGAAACAGTGTGATGTTTGAGCAAGAAATAGGGGTGGGCGTTCGACCGTTGGAATTGAATATGAGAATTTCTGTTTGAATTGAATCTGTTTTCAGATGGAAGAAATGACAATCCCAATAAATTCGGATTGGATTGGATTTTTTAAGTTCGATTTTGGATTAATCGGTTTGGATATTATGGATTTTCAGTATAAGTTGAGATATTTCTACTTTTTACAAAAAATAAATATCCAAATGAAGTACTCATGTTAAATTGCATGAAAAGTTCCTCATTCTTGCCACAATCATCCAAATAAATTATTCAAGTAATGAAATTATTATCAAAAAAATACAACAAAAACATTAATACGGCTGATAAGAAGTAGCAATAGTAAAATCATGTCTAAATAAAACATATTCTAACAGTAACTCAGTAATTAATATTGAATATATGAGATAATATCTAATGGGAAGGGTACTGAACTTATTATTATTGGCATATGGATAAGGGACTAAATATAAAGTATAAAAAATTTGTATTTTCGGATATCCAAAAATCCAAAGTACCAAATCCAATATCCGATCCGAAATCTTAAAAATTAAATCCAAAATCCAAAAATTTTAAAAATTAAAACAAAAATCCAATCCGTAAATCCAAACCAAAAATCCAAAAAATTCAAATTTCGGTTTGGATCCCGCCCCTAGCAAGAAAGGACCAAATAAAAATGCTGATGGCTCATAACTCGCACTCTTGAACACGTTGAATTTTCTGGCTTAATACATGTAGCTTCATACAACTTTGTAATAATGGTGATTGGACTTGCGTTTGTTTGTAAATAACTGAATAGCTCCTTAAATTTTTCTCTTGTAATAACTATTCATCATCCATGGCAAAGGATGCAGGAAGCATTAGACATACAGCCATTTTCAAAGTTTAAATGGCTAATACCAACTCGAGCTGTAAATTTTTCAGTAGAAAATGTGAGGTGAACTGCAAATTTTCAATTTAAGCATAAAAGAGCAGCCCGATCCACTAAGCCGGGAGCCGGGAAGGCCGGACCATAAGAATCTATAGTACGCAACCTTACTCTACATTTCTACAAGAGACAGTTTGAAGATCACATGGCAGCAACTTCCACCGGTTACACCAAGGCTCCCCTTCAAATTTTCAATTTAAGCATAATGCAGAAATTAGCAGTAGCTCTAGTAGAGCTAGAGCTACCATATCATTTTGTGAAATGTAAAAGAGAAAGAGGCTTCTCGGTAGCTCATGCAATCAAGAATATATACATACCCTTCTCTCTTTTTTCTTTAAATGAGAAAATAACTACATATAGTAAGCTAGCTTTGTACCTCAACAGTCTAAGCCATAATAAGGCATGGAACTTCTTCTCCGTTACCCCCTTTGATTCAGAATCTTAATAATATCAAACAAGTTAAAGAGGAA